ATAAATAAAGCATAAGATAGGTACTAAATAATTTGTGTTCTAAGCCAGTAAAAAATCATTAGACGTTAGTGTCATGGGGCATTATTACACATACCACAGCGCACTATAGCACTATAGTGTGTAAGGAGTGAGTGTTGTTTGCTATAGTGCGCTGTGGTGTGTGTAATAATGTGCAACCGACTCGCCCAAGCTGCTACGTTATCATGGGGCATGTTACGTTCTTTCAATATCTGCTTCTGTGCAAACATTAAGAGTGTAAGACAGAATGCGCCATAAAGGGGTTCACGGCACGGGACGCAATTGATTTCTGTAATTACAGTTTCAGTCGTTCTCGTTGCGGCCAAACCACCGATGCCTAAAATAGAGCTGCAATGTCCAAAGCAGTGACGTTGCATATCACGGATGTTCATCCCATTGTGATAAGGAACCCAATGCCTTGTCATGCCTCCTTTACAGGGAGTGCCACAGACCCTTCCGACCCGCCAACAGCAGCTTTACTCCTTTCCAAACGATTCTCGGCCCCATTTGTTTTAGTAGTGGCTCGCTCCCCCTGAATATGCGGACACAGTGGAATGGTGGCAGGCCCTCGATATCTATATCCACTAGGTCTTTCCTGACACCTGAATTATATTTCTTTATTTCTGGTCCTGGATTTAGGGCATTTTTATTTATAATAAAGCTTTCAGCTTCTCCTCTTTTATACTGATAATGCTTGAACAATTTCTGACTTCCTCTTGCATTGGCTCCGTTGCGCCTGCTTTATATAATCACCGCCAGGGGCGTCACCTCTAAGGCAATAAAGACAACGCCAGTCGGCAGTGCACTGATACTTCCGCAGTGTACGTAATTCACACACTTCAAGAACGCCTATTTCATAGCAGCTGAGCAGCAACACATGTAGCTTCTGCAAGCGAATAAATGTAGGGGCGGTACACTCTCAAGAAAAAAGGGTGTAAAAGGGTGTATAGTTACACCCTTTGTACCATATAATACACCCCAAAACTTCAATTCGACCGTACAGCGCCCTATAGTTGAACATTCGGCTCGAAAATTTACGAGGGGCTTGATAGCCGTGTGGTACAACTTACTGAAATAGCTAATGTACGTTTTACTGACAAAAAAAAATAATCAGGGCTGTCTTGGCCCTACTGTAAGAACTCGGTGTTTTTTCTTGATGTGGTCTTTGATACGTACCTTAGCTATTTAAAAAAAAAATGTTAAATCGGACCGTTATCAAGCCCCTCGTAAAATTTGGGGCTGTTTGTTCGACTATAGTGCGTTGTACGTCGAAATAAAGTTTTGGGGTGTATTATATGGGACAAGGGTGTAACGCTACACCCTTTTACACCTTTTGTTTTTTAGAGTGTAGATATATGACCCAACACGAACTACAGGCCGGACAGACGAGCAAGTAAACTTTTACAATGTCGAAATAGTGAACACTGAAAGTTTTTTTATTGCTGAGGCAAAGGAACATGAAATAGCGGAAGGTGAAGAGGAATTACCAAGGTCAGAGTCCTGTGAGTTTACAACCGTTACGAATTTACCTAAGCAGTGTGGAAAGGTGTTAGTTGTGCCGTGCCTCAAGTTTTGTGTATGGCGTACTGTGCATGTCGTCAGAAACCCGTCACTATCTCGAGGCGCGTGAGAGATAGCTGGGCAGTCAGCCAGTTAAGCAGCACCGTAAGAGGCCGTGAAAGATTCCATAGGTTGATCCAGCTTTGACGACAGGGAGGTCCGAATTAAGATGGGCCTTGAGTGAAGCCTCAGAAGGATGCCAAGGCTTCACTGAAACGGACATTAAAAATGGTTCGTCTAAACAAGCCCCCCTTAATGTCCGTCGCAAAAACGTGCCTACTGTACATAAAAATGAGCTTCAGTCACCTTTCATGATCCCCGATGTTGCTTGGGTTCTCGGAAAACGACAGCCCCTGCCTTTAGTTTTGCGATTCTGCCTAAAGCATGTCAAAAAACGTGGCAAAAATAAAAACGAATTGCCTATGTGCAACTCTCAGCCCGCACCATATGCTCAAAACAGCACCAAGAATGTATAGTGAATGCGAGAGAGAGGGCGGAGTAACATCGTTCACTTCGTTCATGTTTCCTGTCTTATGTGGGGAAGCGGCGCACACTGGAGAAGTTGTGAGGATAAACGGCAAGCGGCGTTTGGGATGCATTATCAGTAAAGAGGAGGCTATGGCATGATTCGAGCTTTTCCCGATAAGATGCCGCGTCGTACCTTGTAGTTGTTTGTAGGTCAGTGAACGACTGATAGCCCCTGAGAGCTACCGTACTTTCCGCGAGCATATTGCGCCGGATATTTCTGCCACACTGAGGGGCGAGGCAGGGAGGCTTTAAATGCCTTTTCAGCCACCGATGACGACCAATTGTTGAACAATGAGCTGGGCTCAAGGATTAGGCCCCTTTTGATTTAAGTGGCGTAAAATACGGCGTTATCAAGAAAAGACATGCTGTCCAATGTAAGACGTTCCCCCAGGATATAAGTTATAGCTAGGGGTTTTTTTTGTTTTCGGTAAATATTGATATACCCCAAACATTAACCCCCGAGGCTGTTTCATCAAACTCGAAGAAGGCTCAAGAACCCCAAACGGGAGCGGTATTAAATAGGGGAAACCCAATCTTCACGCAAAAAAAAACAAAAGAAAACTGAAATATATGTTTTTTTTTTGCGCTAAACTGGAACAGGGCCCGTACTGAACTGCATGAAAAGTTGCTTCTTTTTTCAGGAACATCTCCCTCTGTTCTGCTTTTTCCTTTGGATGATGTGGAATCATATGTCCGTGTACTGGGCTCTCCAGTATAATCACTGAAATCTAAGAAAGTAGCGTCAGTGCGTTCCCTCCCTGCTGTCCCTGACACAAACCTCGCAAACCTCGCAAGGTGATTGGTTGATTGATGTCAGCTGCCATAGTAATCGCCAGTTCGGTTGATTCAAATCTTCGAAGCTTCGAAAGGGTCGTTCTCTAGTCGCGTAAAGATTACTATAAAGCAAGGACAGAACGAGCGGGTTAGTATGAGTAATTAAACTTGAGGACGAAAACGAGAAGGGACGTCCCTTCTCGTTTTCTTCCTCGAGTTTAATTACTATAAAGCATCATGGTACAAAAAGCGTTCCTCTCCAATATCGGCGAATTTGGCATACAATCCACTTATCAATCATGCTTGTCTCCACATATCTCTTGCAATAGCCTTGCTCTTCTTGCTCATTACGAGACAGGAAAATTATTTTCCAATGCCTCCAAGCACCGACGCCGCATCTTGTGGAGGTACAAAGATGTACGCTTGTTTGGCTGTTGTGTGGGTAGCAAAAGATCGGTGTACGAGAAACGTCTCGGGAAATCTCCCTGTCACCAGCGAATTCAGATCGGCTCACCGAGAATGGTGAGGTCAAGGAGAGATGGAACCGAGGAAATTGAATCAATGAACCGAAATGGCGACTATACGAGGAGCTTGGCGCTGCTTTCCCAGGATCCGGTGAGTTTACTCCAGCATAGACCCCGATAAACTCCCGTTTCTTAATCCGACACCAAACTTTTACAACGAGAAACATCGAATTTGTAAGAAGGAAATAAACCCCGATAGGGACACGCGCGATGTCAAAGAGAAATAAACGCTGAAAACACGGAACCCAAATTAGCTAAAAGTTCGTAATTTGTTTTTATTTGCTTTTAGTTTTAATGCTTTTAAAGGGCAACTCCGCTCAAGTCCGAAAAATTTAGGCTTACATGTGATTCCATTTCACAAAGCACTACTAAACAGATCTACGTCATCGGATTCGCAAAATGTGGAATATTTTTTGTGTAATCTTAATTCAAACATCAGCTGATACCGAAGCCGAAACTTCGGTTGCGTCAGGCACCATTGGTCTCGTGTCGTCAGAGTCATGGCCACGTCACGTCGAGCCACGTGGTCTTGTGACGTTCGTGGGTGCGAAGGACAGGACACGCGACGCGGGCAGGTCGTGTCGCATGGCGTGGACGGTGATGTCCCGGGGGAGAGGGGGAAGGGGAGAAGACGAAAGAGGAGAAGGGGAGCGGAGAAACAGACCAATAAGCGCGCAGGGCAGTGCAAACTAGCGCATCCGGGTTACGGTGACCTCGTCGACGCCGTTCAGCCAACACCGAGAGGAGAAACTCATGACGTCATCGTTCAATTTCGCTCTGAGAAGTAAAAACAAACAAAACGTGAGAATGACGTAGTCCTGCCTCTGACGTTGTGGCTCAACGTTGGCCTCTCCAACTCCGTCAGATTGACTGCGCTGGTGATTGCGCCTCACGTCGCACGCCAGAGCTGGCAGATTTCGGCGACTTGGCCGATTTGAAAGTTTTCTGGCCAGTTTATTAAATATATAGACGGAATTCGATCGTAATATTTGACATGGGGTCTCCCTATATGACACTGAAGAGGGCTACATAATTTTCTAAATATCAAAAATGAAGCGGAGTTGCCCTTTAAGAGTTCTTGTAGAACGCCGTCGGCAACATTACCGTGGCTATATAAGGAGTGGGAGAAATAAACAAGGTAAACTCGGTGTCAACTTTCTGTGGCATTTTAAAAGTGAAGAGTACGCGTGTACAGATTTCATCGGCGTTCAAAGCGTGCGAGCGCACGGCACCCATAACCTTTTCCCTCAAAGTTGCCTCCAAGTACAGCAGAATTGTGGACATTTGCCTTCTGTAACCTTTACTGCAAATTGAGTTTTTTTTTTTTTTTTTTTTACAGTTTTGGGGTTAACTGCTTTAGCTACGGCCGAACTAAATACGCCCTCGCTGTCTAACGGCCTCTTTAGTGTGGCATGACAGCACTAGATTGCTGTGCCGCATTGTCACGATGGTTAATGTTGATGCGCCTTTTCACTTCGTAGCAATGGAGCTAGAAACAAAAAAGAAAAATAGAGTGTCCCTGCCAAAACTGTAAAAGAAGCTTAATTTGAACCGAAAACATGAAACCCTAATTATAAGGAATGGTACCTCACTCACCCGATGCTCGCCGTTCATTTCGGCATCCGCGACAAAGCCGGCGTTCGTGAGGCCTTCGTCGTGCATTGGACTGAATCTCTCCATTTTGACACCGTGGTCAGGCGGGCTCTGGGAATGGTCAAACTTTCGTCCGGGCATCCTTGTGACCAGTTACTGGTTGTGCCTGAGAACAAGTTACCTGAAAATGGTAAGCTGTTCTTCTGCAAAAAAAAAAAAAAAAAGAAACATAATCCACGTTAGCACTGAAGACCACAACTTAACCACAGAGCGGATATGCTGAGTTTTGTCAGCAAAATCGCATTCCATTCAACAATAACTTGTATTGACTGGCGAAACCTGCCAAAGTTTTACCACCGAAATGACGCCGTTTTGACGCCAAAACGCTAAATTCAGATGAGCACAGCTAAATGATTCGACCTCCTTTCTTTCCCGGTGTAAGCGAGGAAAGGCACAGAAATGTAACCTTTAGTAAAAGCCTACATTCAGTCGGTATGATACGAGTGCAAATCGAAAATTAGTGGGACCTGATTGTTTTTTGTTCAGAACTGGGCCTCTCTGGGAGCTTTGATTTTTTTTTTCTTTTTGTTTTTGAAAGTAGCATCAAGCGTATTCAATATTAAATAAAAAGGGTTCAAAATAATTTAAAAGAAGACGTAAAATAATGCTTTGAAACATCGCTTTCGGTGTTGCAGCAGCAAAAGTTTCCACTAAATCGTACGACGAAAACTTTCTCCCGTGAACTTATTTTTTTATTGTTGAATATACCTAGAAATCACAGGGCGATGAGTACGGGCTGTATGAAGAGCGTTACAGTGCAGTTAACACTTTTCAAGGGTTAACGCAAAATTTAATTGCACACCTTTGTAATACTCTTACCAGCAGGTCTTTACCATCAAACATAACGAAACGTATAAGGTGCTAAAGACGAAGATGGTAAGTCTGCAGGTTTACACATATGGATGCATTAACTTCACAATCATCGACACAACACAGCTTGTCTACCTCCTCGCATAAAATAACAGCTTATCGATACTTCTTAATCAGCCCTTGTACATTTCCCTATTATTTGCCACTACATATATTACTCCTCGATGTTATAAATTGCCGTAGTATATGTAACTAGGCCTTTAGTGTCTCGCACAGTTTATTAGCTTTCCGTTGAACTGGTTGTCTTCCACGCTCCGCTTTTATATTTCTCAGTATGTTCTTATTCGTAGACTTAGAAAATTTGACTCATGTGTGCGTGTTCTGAGTACGTGTGCCTCACCACACTTGTCTAGAGAACCCATGAGTACAACGGTCGAGAAGACTTGGATTTAAAATAATATATATATATATATATACGTCAGAGATCCGTACTTGCGGAGTTGCTATGCTAGGAGTTTATTGTATGTATTACGACAGTTTCGCCGAGAGGCTCGGCTTCGTCAGGAGATGGCATACATCTCCTGACGAAGCCGAGCCTCTCGGCGAAACTGTCGCAATACATACAATAAACTCCTAGCATAGCAACTCCGCAAGTACGGATCTCTGACATATTACATTTTCCCGATCCATTGTTCTTAAATTACCCTGCCTCACCTTTATATATATATATATATATATATATATATATATATATATATATATATATATATATATATATATATATGTAGGCTAATAAAATTTGGGAATAAGAATATACATATATATACTCTTGCCATTTAAAGAGAGCAAGCAGAGAAGTATGAACGATTACTAATACTGCGAAAAGCGATCAGTGGACAATTTATCCGAAAAGCGTGGTTTGTGTATGATACTGCTAACTGGACTAAACGTTCTCCATTCGTTATCTGAATGTCTTTTTGAACTCAGTTATACATCAGCTTTCATTCCTCAGCAATAAATGAATTTCATTAAACGTACGACTAAAATCAATAGCAGCAAGGCTATGCAATATGAACAGTAAATTTCGCTGTTTAAACACAAAAAATGGCAAAAACAACTTGCATTTTCATTTATATTTGCCCCGGTACTGAGAGTATTTCATCATAAAAACGAAGCATAATAATATGTATTTACTCGCGGCGAGAAGTTCGAACGTCGCCGCCAGGTGCAATTTTTTCACAACCCAGAGTGAGGACACTTCAACTTTCTCTTCTAATGCGAGCACGTGCAATGCGGAGCTCCTATGAACTATGAAGATTATAACGTAACCGCCCGGGTAGCACGTGCAGTACCCATAATGAGTGGAACCCGAAGCGATCCAAGCGAACTTGTCACTACGAATAGTTAACAGTCATCGTAAACACTGCTTTTCAAGACAAATATGCTGAAACATCACATGAAAATGCTGCGTATTGTGAACAACACTATCAAAATAATCATGCAATTTTGAAGTTTTCGTTTCTTTTTTTCATCATGTAGCAGGGACTTCGCCAAGAGACGGCGAGGTCGGCCGAAAGATGCGTTAGACTGTTAGAGAGCTGCGCTGGCATGTTGAGGTAACCACGTCCTCAGCTGTCATGTTAAAAACAAAACGGCACGCAGGTGGTATATCTACAATATATGTCGTCGATACCATCACAGCATTTAAAATCAAGAAGAAATAGGCATTTTTTAGAGGCTTTGAAAATCTAATGCCATTTACGGGGGTTTACGCGTCGAACCACATAAGGACTGGCGGCGCGCTTCAGAAAAGAGCCAACGACTAAATTAGATTATAGAGGAATCCTTAACTTTGAACCGAAATCTCGGTTACACGGCGCCTTTAGCTCGGTGGATATCTGCAAGATCTATGAACCTTCAAACCGGGTTCGACCCCGCCATTTAGAGATTCAAACGCCGGCTTCTTGCCAAGGAGCCGCCGGCGCAGTCCAAGGCTCCAGCGCATAAAAAGACCGAAACACAGAAACACGTAACAAAAGCGCAAGTCACCGGACATTCACTGATCTTGACTTGCTTAGCAGATGATAGCAGACGTACAAAGGATGACTAACGCCATGACGTTGCGATTATGAAGTTCCTTAATTGGTCGTATCGGCTCGCAGCTGAACAACCGCAAAGTACATAGTTTCAGTACAAGTGAGTTTTAGTATTTCGTATACGAGCAAACGCAAGCTCTCTGCGTTTGCGTTTGCGTTGCGTTCTCCACGATGCGCATGCGCAAAGTCTCCATGCGCCAATCCGAGGCCGCAGTTTGGGCTCCGCGCACGCGCAGTGTAGAACACGCAACGCAAACGCACGGGGTTTGCGTCTGCTCGTATACGCGATACTAAAATTCACTATTGTGTATAGGAGAAAACGCAACCACTTTGCGTTTATATTTTAGCAGCGTGCTCCACGCGGCGCATGCGCGTCATCGCCATGTACCAATCGAAGATGCAGTTTTAGCTTCCGCTCACGCACAGTTTGAAACCCACAACGCTAAATCAAACGCAAACTGCTTGCGTCTGCTCGCACGCGCAATACATAACCTCGATAATACGAGGAAAACGAGCGAAATCCCGAATAAAACTTGACTGCATCCTCGCCCAGTCGTGAGGCCAGTTTCGAAACGCGAGTGCTATAATGCCCGATTGTTGATTTTTTGCGACTAATAATTTGTCTTCTGACATACGGGCTAAGTATATTTGTCGCAGCGATGAGAGTTCGGTGACTCAAAGCACGGAGTCAGACATACCTGGGGGAAATACGAGTCCGTCGATCGAGAAGCTGTACTATCGGTCACAATGGAGACATGCCAACTTACTCGGAGCGCGGCGTGTGTCCGTGTGGAATCCCGCCTTGTCTGTATCAGATTCTGAGGCCGCTGATACACTCCGATTAGCCGCTGAGCGCAAACTGCAAACCCTCGGTAATTCTTTTTCCTTCTTTTTTTGTCGCAGTTCGACGATAACCACCTTCAACACTCAGACAGGGCATCGTGGGAGTTTATTTTGTGTGTTCGAAACGAATTGCTACGTTGCCGGAACGCCCAGTTTGCGCTCAAATGTAGCGCAAACTTTTCTCGTCGTCCAGCGCCCTGCATAGACCTCTTTAGCGGTATCTCTGACCGCTGAAAATGACTGTGTACACAATATTTGCACCGCCATTTCTTTCTAGAGGTGTCCCCCAGCGTTCCGAGAGAGTAAGTGCTTCGTTAGCGCTGGCGGTCAGCGGTGATACGAGTCGGCCATGGCGCTGAGCCGCAAGTCACCCCACAGACACTGGCTAAACTAGCCCTACCCCTTGACTAAGAATTGTTAGTCGACTTCTTAGTCGCGCGGAGCGACTAGGCCCTAAAGACGACCGGTGAATACCAAGCACTCACTTAGCGGCGACTATCGCTCGCCACGTGATCATTTTAGTCGATGACGTCACTAGTCAGTGGTTAAACAGGCGCTACTCGCGCCTGGTGAATACGGGTGGTGAGGTTTTGCACTAACCTCAAAAAAAAAAACGTTTAATCTCTTGTAGTCAGTAACACGTGCATTACCTATTTCAATAAGTTGTACCATATGGCTATCAAGCCTCTTGTGAAGGTACCTACCGTCAGTTCGATGTCAGTGTGCTATACGTTTGACTGAAGTTTTGGGATGTCTTATATGAAACAAAGGGTGTAAGAATACACCCGCTTTTTCTGAGAGTGTATACATAATGGTAGGGATGGAAAAAGTACGCAGTTTCGCTACATAGTCTCCTTCCTTTTTAATGCAATTTATTCAGCCGTCCAAGATCTTGGATATTCCTTCCAATAATAAGGTTTTCGGTTGGTCGCCCAACCATCTACGCACGCACCGCTTCGCGCACTGACGGGCGTCCCGCTCCCTTTGTGTTCATCAAGCTTGTCCAGCCACTTTTAAAATTCTCGAACAACTTATAGACACACGTGTATGTGGAAAAGCGCTCTCCCCGTGTTGCGTTGTAAGCTTGCGATGAATTGCAGTTCTTCGGACACCCCCCGACCAGAGATATTGTATCACTGCTCTAAGTTCCTCCTGATTGCACACTGAGGGCTGAGTGCGCATGTTTACAAACAGAAGTGACAAATATGACGATATCAAGGGCGAACTTCAATAACGTGACCACAATTATATCGACTCTAAGCACGCATGCGCAGTAGGCAGTGCGGAAAACCTAAAGCTGTATTAAAGCAAACGTTCACTTTTTTTTTTCTTTGTATTTTTTTTATTGACCGCCAGAAAACAAAGCCGAGTTCCGAACACTTGGAAACTTGTTCGGATGTGATCCCTTGATTAATTTTACAATGTGGGTTTCTCAATTGGGGGGTGTACTATCTAGGAATATAGCATCTCTATCGGTTCGCAAAGCGACGTATTTATTAAACAGTTTTAGTGGACCTTCCGCAAAAACTTTGAGTACGCAAATAGACAGTATTAGTGGACCGTACGCTATAGCTTTCCGTACGCAAGGAAATTGCGGGCCGTGAGTGCGCATGCGCAGAACGCAATAGAAGGGCTAGCGTATTGCGTACGCACGCAACGCTGGGGATTTTGCGTGGCGGGCTAGCGGGCTTTGCGGGACGCTCTCGAGAGATCTCGGACCCAACGAGAGCGCAAATTTCAACATGGCGGTTACCTCGACTAACGCAGCAAGGGCGACGTGGTGTTTTCGAAGTTCTGTGTTACGTGAAATTGCGTGGTGTTCAGCTCGGCAATTCTTTCAGGGACCGGTCGAATCAGATCGCCGTGCAGCTGGAGTGCACAGTAAAAATGTTCGCCGCTCGGAATGTGCGTCAACACTGCGACCTGCTCAACGCTAAGCCTTTTCGCACAGTTCATCGCCCACGGACGAACGACTCTCAAAGAAATCGCCGAAGTTCTCGCTATGCACAGGACATCAGTAGGTCATGAATTTCGTTCCGCGACAGCATTGATAAAAGGTGCCGTTTCCACGAGACGACTCACGGACGCTCCGTGATCGAATTTGACTACGCATTCGTACTCGTAGCCTGTGTACCCCGCAGAAAAGCGCGCTTGACGAGGCAGCTGTGGCTTGGTTTATTTTGAAATAAAATGATGGGACACGTTTTCATTTTCAATATTTTTTTTCCAGGAGCATGGTTGCGCTATAAGCACGCGGAATTCTACGGCTCCAGCAAATTTAACCAAGATCATGCGCGGTCTTCACTCGAAAACGTTACGGACAACTAAATTCGGTCCGAGCAAGTCATTTTTAGCGTACGCTATTGGGCAGGAGATCGAACTATAGGGGGCGCTTTATCGAGGTTGTTGTCCCCACAGCCCGGTGTTTACTAACACAGCATAACAAAGAAATTTAACCTCGTCATGCACGGCCTGGACACGAGCGCTTCGCCCTGACCAATGTTGGCCTTCGAATCGTCATCTTCGATATCGCTGATCAAAAACAAACAAGAAAATTCGGTTTGTTGCCCCCACAGCTGAAGCGTGCCGCCAGAGGCGTGACTGTTCGATCTCCTCCCCAATACTATTGCGTATCGCGTAAGTAAGAGCCGGCAACGCTATACTAAAACTGTCTATACTTCGTTTCAGCTTCGGTCCGAGCGCGGCCGATGTTATAAGTCGAAGGGCCAATCAAACACCACAAAAAGCGCAGCGTCATGGCGTGCTCTCTGCTCCTGATAGGACTAGCCGGCGGAGGAGCGCGCACAGAGACTCGGCGAATACCGGATGGTCCTATCAACTGTAGAGAGCAGGCCATGACGATTTGCTTTTGGCGCTGTTTGATTGGCCCTTCTGCTCATAACATCGGCCGCGCTCGGACCGAAGCTGAAACGAAGTATAGTAAATTGCAGTCTGGGGTGCGCTTCCGCAGAACGCGCTAAAAGGGCTAGCCTATGGCATACGCACGCAACGCCATAGGCCAGCCCTATTCACCGAATTCGGTGGGAGTCGGTACCGCGAGGGCGCCACAGTATTTGGTGCCCCAGTAAACTTCCGGTCGTGTATTTATTTGTTCCTCAACAACGCACAGTAAGCGGGTAAGAATGTTTTTCTAGGGAGAACTATCTGTAATAAGTTTGTAAGAACCTGCACGCATTGTAGAACTTAGTACAAGTAACATAAGGATGTCAAAAAAAAAAAAAAAAGAAGAGGAAAACCGGAAGCACGCAAGGGTACGCCGATAGCTGGCGGCACCGAGCTTGTTTGCAAACAAACATCGGTGAATATATGGCGTTTGCGTTGAGGGCCAGCCGGCTTTGCGCAAAGCTCTCGAGAGAAATTGGGCCCAGGGACAGGGCCAGCTTCAGGAGGGCGGTTACCTTGACTGAAACAGCATGGGCGACGTGGTGTTCTGGAACGTCAGTGTTACGTGAACTTACGTGGGGTTCACCTCGGCTATTCTTTCCGTGACCTACTGCAGTCACGTCAAATCGCCGTGCAGCTGAAGGAGCGCATTGTGAAAATGTTCACCACTCGCAATCTCCTTGAATGTTCACATCTGCTCAGCGCCTTTTCGCGCATTTCGTCGCCGATGGACGAACAACTCTTCGAAAAATTTCCCAGGTTGTCGCAGTGCACTTGACATCGGTAGGTCATGGGTTTCTTTCCGCGATAGCGTGTATAAAGGGGGCCTTTATCACGGGATGATTGACCCTTCGGCCCATGGCTGTAACTCCAACGTTGGTTTTTCCTCTTTTGCAAGACTTCTCTCTCTCTCTCTCTCTCTCGGATGATTGACCGACGCTCCATTATCGAATTCGGCTACGCACCCGTAGCCTCCGTACCCCGCAGAAATGCGCGCGTGACCAGGCAGATGCGGTTTGGTTTAATTTGAAATAAAAGGATTGGAAACGTTTCCACTTTCAATAACTATCTTGAGGAACTTGGTGGTGCCTTAAGCACTTCCTGTGCTTAAGCAGTCCCCGTGCTGAAGGCATGGGGAACTGCCTCAAGTACTCCCCGTGCTTAAGGCAGTTCTGGCAAATTTGATCAAGGACACGCGAGATGTTCACCCGGCAACGTTTACGGAACTCAAAACTAAAATCTGTTCCAGGAGGTGTTTCACAGACCTTTTTCGTGTACTCTCGTCCCCAGCCAAATAATAGGCGTATTTGGTATGGGCGACAAAAAAAAATATTAAAACGTTTCAGCCTATAAATGTTTTTAAAAAATAGAGGGGAGGTAAAACGAGAAGCAGTGACGTTTCAGCTTATATTATTAAAGGGATACTACAACGAAATTTTGGCGCTTATTTTATGTTGTATATGTGTTCAAAGGAGCAGCCTCACATCGAACACACCAATGTCTTGTTAAAAAAATCACGAAAAGGAATTTAAAACGAATTGAACGATTAGCAAAGAGCGCCTGGTGGATGTCGCTAAGGCCTCATTTGTAATGCCCGTCTAAGAACCTTGAAAGCTAGTGACGGCGTGTGTCTCGCCTCCGGCCACGACGAGAGAAGAGGGGAAGGAGGAACTCCCGTCTTCCCGAGAATCCCTTTCGTGTGTTCCAGAAGTAGCTGTTGTCCCCCTACAAGATTATAAAAGATTAACCCGTCACTCAAAATTCGTACAAAAGCAACGGCTTCGGTGCCTGGAACGACTAGGCCATCCCCTCGACGTCAGCCTCGCAGTAGCTTTGCTCGTCCCGAGACGACCTACGTCACGATTGCGTCGGATGTCACGTACTCTAAGCTGGGCCTTCTCCGAGCGCTTGCTACAGTGGGCCGTTTATAAGAAGAAATGCAGCCACCAGGCTCAAAATACAAACGTGCGATTGTCATTTACGGATATTGTGGATCATATTCAACCTATTTTTGAACTCGACGGATATATTTCAAATTTCATT